AAMYTWMAAACTCTTTTATGATCAAATTTAAGAAAATTTCTACCTTTTTGAAGTTGAATATRTACGTTTGGATGTCGTGTTCATCAGGGCCGGGTTTTTCAAAGCCCGATTAGCGTTAATYCAGGGTTAATTCCATAGGTTTTCTAAGAGTTAACCCAGGCACTAATCGGTCTTTGAAAACCCGGCACAGAACCTCGAACAATATGTGGAAAGCAGCGTAACCACATACAGTTTTTTATTGTCTTTAATTAATTAAAACCATGGATCATAAAGACCAAGCCTTGAATAACGCATCTGGTGTTATTTTCACGTAGGACTCAATGTGTAATAGGGCACCAAACATTCACCTGATAAGATTAGTCATAGGGGGTATAACAAAGGACCAATCAGATAACAGAACTGAGTGTATTTAACTAATCAGACTAGAGAAAAAAGGACACAAAACTTATTAACTTTTCTTAGGTTAAAAATATTTTTAAAATGCAAAAAGGATGAAAAGGAGCAAACTTCATGATTTCATTATTACTTTTAATTTTTAGATGACAATATACTATCTCACAGTTTGATTTTTCATCATTTGATTTATAAGTCTTGACTATAAAGTGAAAATTTAAAATGTCAAAAATGTCAGCAAAGCTCCAGGGGATGCAAATTCCTGTAGCTAAGTTTGCAACAACAACACAAATAATTGAAAGCCCATCTAGGTAAATGAAATCTCCAGTACAGTGAAAATTATGCAGACACCGAAGAACGTTAGACTTCAGACCACTAATAAGTTCACGAGTCGYCATCTTGATTGTCAAGCGCTAGCAAGTAAAAATTTGWCAACATTCTACTGTAAGGTTTTGTGGTCGAACTAATGCTTTATTGGTCACTAAGAGCAAAATAAACTCACATACATAACATRTGTCGTACGAAGTGAACTAGGTTGAGTGTCACGTAGAACACATCACGTGACAATGACGTTACATCTCCCCTCCTTTGAGGTACAACAGATACTATGTCTTAAGCTAATATRAACTTTATGTTATATGTTTTTGTGTTCATAGATTTAGTAGCCTAGGACCTAACAGAGTCTTTTATAAAGGCAGGCTCCCTTCTAACCCTTGCGGGTGTTGTTGGTGGCGCAGTTGTTCCATCCTTAGGTGCCAAAGTCATTGGTGCGTCCTMGAGTGGTATCGGCAGTGGATGTGGAGATTCCGTAGGGATGTTGACCTCCTCGTTGATTGGCTCCTTTTGTGTCCGTTTCAGATCCACTTGGTTCCTCCTGTATAGGGAGTTGTCTGTCTCCACCTCATAGGAACGATCATCTAGTCTGCGTCGTACTATTGCCTTGTCCCATGTCTTTTGGTTGAGATGAAAAAGGCGCATACGTACGACATCTCCTTGCAGAGTTTCCAGGTCTTTCGCATTTTTATTGTAGTAGTTGGCTTGTTTTGCTTGAGATATCTTTCTCCTTTCCGTCGTACATTCAGGATTGATGCCTTGTGTCTTTAGTAACCSGGTGGTAGTTGGAAGAGGTGTTTTGGTTCTTCGTCCGAATAACCGTTGTGCTGGACTACTCCCCATTRGCTCGGATGGGGTGTTGCGTTGTGCTAAGAGTCTAGAAAAGGATCTTGCCCATCCATCTTGGCTTTGCGTAATAGCCTTTTTGACGTCTTAACGGCTGACTCTGCCAGGCCGTTGGCTTGCTGGTGTCCTGGGCTGCTTGTCTGCAGGTCAAAGTCCCATTTGTCAGCAAAAACCTTAAAGGTTTCTGATGTGAATTGGGGTCCATTGTCAGTTATCACCTTGTCTGGGATGCCGTATCTTGCGAAATGACCTTTCATCTTCCTTATTACTATGGATGACTTGGTAATACTGACTCACATCACCAATGMCCTGTCAGTTAATGAATTCTAAATGAGACGTAAAAGACTTCTGAGTGCCACTTTATATAAAGTAGCTACTTGCTTAATAAGCACAGTATCTAGTGCAAATGTAGTCTTTTTTACTTTGATTTCAAAATCGCAATCGCGCTTTAAATTGAATATATAGAAATAAAATATAGAATATAAATAGAATATATTCTTCAAGTGGACACAATCACAATTTTGTAATGGTACATTGTTACGTTTTTTTATTCGCAGTTTGCGTTGCTTACGTACTTATTACGCATTTTTCTTATTTTGTTYTCTCAAAAGGCTTCTGGCACGAACAATCGCGTTCTGATAGGGACAAATATGTTAGGATCAACTTTGAAAACATTATAGACGGTATGTATATCTCACTTTGCATATGCATGAATATATCCATGGGAGTTGAGACTTTTTTCTTAAAAGGGCGGGATAACTTCAATTAGCAAATGTTTGATTTATAAAGTATTTTGTGGTTTGTGTTTTATGAATAACAAACATGTATAAATACAAAAACTAGAAAATAGAACGAAAATAGAGTAAAAGTTACATTTTTTACACCTTTTTCTGAACAACCATTTCGG